CCCGCTTGCAAGTTTTTCTGGGGAGGGTGCCCGGTTTTTGGTGAAAGAACCCCCCCCACCATCCCCCCCATCATCCCCCCCATCATCCCCCCCATCATCCCCCCTACCATCACCCCACCCCCTACAACACCCACCCACAGAAGGCCCAAATTCCAAGCGCCGTGAGTCGTGACTCCTCAGTCCCTGGCGCTGCTGCAGCAGCGCTTGGAGCAGCTGTCCCGGGAGTGCGAACGGCGGCAGCAGGCGGCGGCAACCGGCGTCGCGTCGCCGCGGCTCGTCTTTTTTTGGCTTTTTGGGCTGAGCCACCCTAAGGACCGGCTGGTTGGGTGGTTGGTTTCTTGGTGGTTTGGTTGGTTGGTTGGTTAGTTGGTTGGCTAGTTGGTTCGTTGGCCTGTTGGTTGGTTGGTTGGCTGGCCAAGGATTCGGTGCCTTTTCCCAGCCTATTTTAGAGGCCAAGAGGACTCCAGTCGCAGCTCTCAACTTGGTGTTGCGAGCCTAATGGAGCTCCCTGCTGATGTTTGAGAGAAGCATAGATAGTCACTACTTTGCGTGTCACATGTCTATTGAGTGGTGCCTTCTTGGTCAGCTGTAGATTGTCAACATGTTTCTTTCTGCGTTGGACAGCTAAGGGTCACGGCCGGTTGGGTGGTTGCATTTGGAGTCATAAGCTCTTACCAGCCCTCGCGCCTGGTGCCAATGGTAAAAATCCGCCGAGCTCGAAGAACAGATATTCCTTGAGCCGTTTTGGGTTTGTTGCCCGGGTCCCCTGCTTAAATCAAGACTTGTAAGTTGGAATTCGACCCCCGGCTCGTTTAGGAGATGAGTTTTAAGGTTTCAGATGTTTACATCAATTGGACATATGAGGTAGGTTTTAAGCCTTTACAACCAAATTAGACCAACCTCCAGCCTTTGTTTTTCTCGGTGTCCCTTTGGGATTCTTCTGGGCCTCCCTTCCGCGCAAAAAAAACACGTTGCTCCCAGGAGTCGTTTGAGCTTCGGAGCCGCTGGGCGCAGGCGCGAGGGCCACCCGGTACCAAACGGAGAGCGAGGGACACAACCGAGCCTTGCTCCCAATACCAGTCTTTTCGCCGCTTTTTGGGCGCACGCTGGGCGCATTTCACTCAGGCAATCAGAGACTGAAGTCCTTGGCCTTCCTATTGGCAGAACCATGAGACCAGTCAAAAGAACATATATAATGGGTTTGCCCCGAGCACGGTGGCGTTGCTCACAGGCTGAAGACGATGCTGAGAGGTACATGAGACTTGGCGTCAATGACTGGGCACTTGCGCACTTTCGAATGTTGCCCACTTTGGGAGAGCAGCGAACGACGATTCGGGGCAATGTCAGACTCTTTGGTTCCTTTGCGGCTTTCACGTTTGCTTGAGGGTGCCTTTGGGCTTATTCTAAGGGAAACCAAGGGGAAACAAGTTCTTTTTTCTTTTTGGGGGGGTCCCCTAAAAGAGGACACATCCATTTGCAGCGGCCGTCCGTTTGGCTGAAGGGGTGGTTTGGCTTTGCAACTTCCCAGGAAGATCCTGCAGCAGTTCTGGGATGCTGACCACCGACTGCGCGATGCCAGCTGAAGAGGCCAGCGAGTCGTGGGCGGAATTCGATATTCTAGGGGTTGATTCCTTTTCCATTCTTTCAATCATTGTTCGTTTCAAAAACCGGTCGTCTTCACTGGGCTTCTTGCGGTTTTGTAGAAAGAAGGATCCCTGGGTTCAGAATGGGGAAGGCGCCTAGAGACATGACGCTTCTGGTTGCCCAGCTTGTTCCGCTCGAATGGCTTCTTTGAGGATTCACAGTTCTGTCAGTCCCTGGGTCTGGATGTAAGGTTTGGTTGATCATCTCCTTGACTTGCATGAGGTGAGCCGTGTTTTTTTTCTTCCTATTTTATTTGGTCTACTTTCATGCAACTGCAAAGGTTGGCTGTTTGTTTGGCTGGTTCTTCAAACGACCCGATGCCAGCATCCCTTCTCCGATTTTCCCGGCTCCATTGGGAGGGCCGCTACCTCAGCCCGAGGAATTTGTTGCCGTGACCAGAGGTGAGAGAATGATACGAGTCGACAGCATCGCGCTGATTCCTGCGATGTGCACAGTGTCACATGGGACTTTGTCATTGCCCTGGATTGAAGAAGCAATGAAGAAACGGTCTTACAATGGCCACATCTTGGCATTGAATGATGATTCCCCTGTAAATAACGCAGCTTTTTTTTCCATGGTTTCTAGTGGTGATGAGAACGGATTTTGTCCCACGGTATCACTCAGTTGTCGCCATCAACTGAAGTCCTGTCAGGACTGTGTGGCCGCCTTTCAGCCGAGACCGACATGGAGATGATGCTCCGCTCCGCGTGAGTCGAGCAGAGGGAGCTCCGCTCGGGCGAGGTGCGAGGCTCCGAGCCGGAAATGGACGCTGTGCTCGTGAGGAAAAGAAAGGCGCAGACCAACTCATTGTGGTCAGTTGCAGTTGACAAGTTTGCAGATATGTAGGATACATGTAGACTTCCCAACTTGAGACATGAATCGAGGCGCCATGGGAGTGCCGAAAAGTGGCGCGACAGCTTTTCGTTTGTTTGGCAAGTCGGTGTCTGAGGCCTTTGTCCTGCACAGCACCGGCCTGGGCGGCGCTGCAACCTAAGCTTTAGACTCCACTTAGGACGGTTCTTTTTTTTTTTTTCCTTTTCTGGAGTTGAGTACTTTTGTGGGAGTGATATAAATGGGGCACAAGGAATGCCAACTTTTTTTTGGGGAGTGCCCTGAAAAAAGACATTTTTCTGGAGCTTGTACCCCCGTGGGAGTGATATGAATGGGAAGGAAAGCCAACTCTTTCTGGGGGGTCCCCCGAAAAAAGCGACACACCCAAAGAATGTGGGTAACTTTTGGGGGTCCCCCTGAAAGCGACAGACGCACCAGCTGAAGGCAAAATGGCAGCACCCACCTTGCCGCTAAGGCCAAGCTAGGGCGGCCGCAGCAGTGGTGGGCGGCCGCCTCAGGCAGAAGTCAAACCCATCTTTCGAATGGGTGTGGAACCATTTTGGGATTCCATTTGTAACCGGGATCCCATTCTGGAGCCCATTTTGGAGCGCATCTTGGGTCCCGGATCCCATTTTAGAACCTATTTTGGACCCCATTTCAGACTGCTCTTTGCCACCCTGACCAGTACTTCTGCACAGATACATATGGGGGTTGATCAAAGGTCCTTTACATGGGATGACCATTTCGGGAAACCCACCAGAAAGATGACTTTCCCACTAAATTGTAAAAGTTACCCATGGTCATTTGAGGGCCGGGAATATTGATCAACCCCCATACATGTGCATGAACACCTCGCCTGCATTTGCTTGCTTCTCACAGATCCTGCAGATTGTGATACCACTTCAGTATGTCTGCTCAGAGATGTAGATTCCAACATGATGATGCGTTTGTTTTCCATGTGGATGGCAATTGTGGGGAGGTTCACATGTCAAAGGCTTTGGCCGGTGAAAGTCCGCGCATCCGCCGCTTTCATGCGAGCCCGGATTCCTCTCATGTCGTTGTGGGTCTGTCTTTTTTTAGGGCACCCCTTTTTTGGTAGGCTTTAAAGGGGAGCCCAAAGAAAATCCATCCATTGGTGCCAACCCTAAAACGGACACCACCCACAAGTGCGGCCCAAAGAAAGCACCCGCCCATCGAAATCAAATTTCGGTGGTGTGGTTTTTCGGTGTCCAAGAGGTTCATAAAAAAAAACCAGCCAAAAGAGACATGTCTGCAGGGAATGGATTTTCCGCTTTGTACTCACCAAAGAACAATTGCGGAATTCCAGCAGAAGATTTCCACCCACCACAAGCAAGAGGGTTGCCTGCAGAAGATGCCCCAATTTCGCCGATGTCTTTAAGAGTTCCGCAGAGAGTTCCAAGGAGTGGCGCGAGCTTCTGGTGGGCGTGATCCTGTGGGCAACGCTGACCACCTCCGTTCAGCACTGCGTGAGGCACGGGGGAGCATTCCCTGAAAGAGGCGGCCTTGGGGGTGCTAGTTGTCTCCTCCCTTTTTTTGTTAAAGGGACACAACATTTCGATTTTCCCCTCCTGTTTTCCTCTCCTCCTGTTTGTAACCCAAGGAAAGCAATGAGGCTCGCCTTTGGACAGCCCAATTCTTCATGAGAAAACTGCAGGCTTTGACAAACTCTGATGTAGGTGGGGTGTTGTTGTTTTTCTTTTTTCTTGTTGTTTTTTGAGGGACACACCATGTTGATTTTTGGGCGTCCAACCTTAAGAGACACAGCCTTCTGGTTCTCCTTAGGGTGGGTCTGATCATGTGGCAACTCTGCCACAGCGGTGTGGAAAACCTGGGGCTTCAGGCTTGCTTTGGAAGAGCTATGGGGAAATCACTTGGGCGGTTGCGAAATCTTTTTCGCCCCACCGGTTCAGAGACTGTGGCTTCTTATTCCCCAACGCTACCAAGAACTACTGGTTTCAACTCCCTGGTCTCATTCCGTTTTTGCGAGCGGATTAACGTTAACCCCGGATCAATAAACCCCTGGTTGATTCATAGGGGGGTGTCCCCTTTTTAGTGGGGATTCAGACCACTTGTGGAGGGAACACCCCCCTAATACTGGACGGGTTTATTCATCCGTCAACATTATGCGTCCACAGTACGGGGAGCCCAACCCGCCCCAATTCCAGGGCACCCCTTGCCGCGTGGCTGGAGGCGCTGGCGCCGGCGACGGCGGCCACGACTGCTGACCATGGCGGGGGGCCCGAGCAGCGCAGCCTGGGCCCTGGGAATCTCCAAAGAGCCTTGAGGTGTTAAGGGGCCGCCTTCACGTTCTGCTTCAAAAGGCTTGTTTTTTGGCTTTTAGTTTTTTTTTTTGCATGTTTTTAGGTGTTAGGTGTTTGTTGGTTCTTCTTCGTTCTTTAGGAAGGGGCTGGAAAAAGCACAGTTCTTTTGCAAGCCCATATCAAGGGTTGGCAAGACAAGGAATGTGTCGGGGGTTTGGACCTTTTTTGTTCAGAATCCAGATTTGCAACCCCTTTTGGCAGTTTTGAGAAGCCCCAAAAAACCTTTTGGGTGCGTTCCCCCACCCCACTTTGCAACTGTGCCACCCTAGTTTTGTCGCACCAGCAAGTCTTGTCCATATTGCTTGCTGGAAGTGAATCGTTCTTTTTTGAACTAACAGGGGGAAAATCAGGACCATTGGGTACATAAGTCCGCGCTTCAGCTAGTAGTTCCCCCTTCCACGCGTCAGCTACTATCTTTCCTTTCCGCGTGTCAGGTACACCCTATCCGGATCCGCGCGATAGCTTCTATCTTTCTTTTCCCGATCCGGACGTCAGCTATTATTTGCCTCTTCCGTGCGTCAGGTATTTGCCTTCCGCGCGTGAGGTGCTACACACGTCAGGTACCCTCTCCCGATCCGCGCGTCACGCTGCTATTCCCCCCCCCCCCCCCACCCTCTATTCCTCCCTTTCCGCATGTGAGGTACCTCCGAATGTCAGTTACTTCCCATCCCGCACGTGAGGTGCCGCCTATCCCAATTCGATTTCACGTGTCAAGTACTATCCGCCCGATCCAGGACAAGTATCACACAGCCAAACTTGCACAAGCCAACTTGCACGAGCCAACTTGCGCGAAACAACACAAATTACCTGCTTGACACGTGGGATCGACTACGGTAAGAGGTGCGTGGGCCTGACGCGTGCGGGGGCGATAATACCTGACGCGCGGAGGGGCCCGGATAGTGCCCGCGCGGGGTATGGGGAACCTGCGTGCGCCTGACGCGCCGGAGCCTGACCGGTGGGATCAGTTGGGATAGGAGGTACCCGACGCGCAGAGAGGGGATAGTGGAAGGGATGGTACCTGACGCTACGGTAGCTGACGCGCGAGAGGGGGATAGATATGTGGGAGGGGGGATAATAGCTGGAATGGGAAGGGGAGGGCGGGAGAGGGGATAGCATCTGAAAGTGGAAGGAGTGGCCCGAAGCGGCCGGAAGCGGCCAAAGTGGCTGGAAGTGGCCGGAAGCGCCAGAAACGTCCGGCAGTCGCCGGAAGTGGTCGGAAAGCAAAGCACAGAAAACAAGAAAATAAAGTGACACAAAATAGAAAGCAAAACAAAAAATCAGACAACTTGCGTGCCGGTACTCGTGTTTTGGAGAGCCACTTAGCAATTTATATATGTGCTCCATGTGGACCTGTTTTTGGAGGCGGGAACCATTCCGGCCACTTCCGGCCACTTCCAGCCAGGGAAACGGCCGGAAGTGTCCGACAGTGGTCGGAAAACAATCACAGATAAATTGAGCTGGCCCAGTCTAAAGCTGACAGCTGCCAGCTGCCTTTGAAAAAGTGCAGCTCCCGGAATGGCGCATCGGCCCTCGCCGCGAATCTTCAGAAAGAACAGGTTCAACATTCTGCGATTTAAGAAACAGGTGAGCCGCCAGCTTGAGCTGGTAGCTTTGACAGACAGATATAGTGTATCATCTGCAACCCCGAATGGAAGATTAACTCGCTTACATGAGGAGGAACACACATATGAACCCGCCTGAAAATTTGGCGGCTGGGCTTTGTTGTAAGACTAGCATGCTGGATGTTTCGATGGCACCTTCAAAGGGGAGAGCCTTGTGTGTGTGTGCACGGATCTTTACTCAGGTGGCCTTACTTTCCCACTTTCGCTCGCTCTTTGCAAGTGTTTCCGTCCTGTAAACCCAGCCCAGTTTGGAGCTTGGGGTTGGAAGCTAGTTTCTTGAGCTGGTAGTTTGGAAGTTGTCTGAGGCTGGAGCTGCCAGGCCGGCGCCTGCCAGTCTGGAGCTGGCAGGTGAGTCTGGCGCTGGCAGCTGCCAGTCAAGAGCTGCCAGACTGAACCTATTTATCTGTGCCTTGCAGAGCCCAAAGCCCAACGTTTGGCGGGGAACCGGAGCTTGACGAGGAAGGAACACGCCTTGTCACATCTTTGGACAGGGCTAGAACACACCAAATGTTTAGATTTCCCAGCAAAGCCGCAATCCCTTGTTAATCTGCCGTTTGACGATGATTGGTTCTGATGACAGCGGCAACAGTCCTCGTCCAAAAATCCATCTTGCTCTGTTTTTTTGGCGTAGCAAGCTGCAAAAATTCAACAACGTGTTGATGGTGTTTTTACAACCCCTTCAAAACACACATTTTTGCTCTTATGCCTTCAGAACTAACCCGCCCTGATCCACGAAATTTGATAGCGCAAACGCTTGCAAGACCTGTGGTCTGCCGATACCCATGTTTCGAAAGCACGTGTAGAAAAAGGCAACGCCGTGCCTAGTATTGAAAGCAATGTGTGATGAGCGCGTTTCGACTTGCAACTCATATTTGTGTGCTCCGCGCGGTTTATCGTCAGACACGGCGAATCATATCCGGCCATACCATTTGATTTGGGGGCAGGGACCTTAATGACCCATTTGCGCTACGTGGAGGGTATTACTCTGGCTTCTCTCCACCGCTGCGTCGCTCAGCCCCCTGCGGTTTTATGTAGGCATTGGCGTCACGCTTTTACACGCAGCGTCCTTTGCGTGATGCAGCGCGGCGCTTGTTCATAGCCGGCCCATGCTCTCAGACGCAATTGTTGTCGCAGCCTAGATTTCGAGGTCGCGCCGTGTGTGCTTCTTTGGCGCTGCAAAGTTGTGACTTTCAAGCCGCGCTGCGGACGTGCTGTTGGGGCCGGGGCAGCGGCCGTGCTTCGGCGTATGCCGAAAGATGCAACTTTCAAGCCAGGGTTTTGGAAGTATATTTTTCACGCCGGGCAGTGCGATTTTCAGGCCAAGCCGCTTTCGAAGGGGCGGCGCGAAACGCTGCGCAGCTCAAACCAGCACCTCCTAGGCTTCAAGGCACGGAGCCCAAGCGTGAGTATATTTCTACTTGTCCGGGCGCTCGTTGCCCCAATGCATCGGATCCGGGGTAGCGCTGCTCGCGCGAATGCCTTTACTTTGAGGACATTGCGTTTGCCTTGAAAAGAGTTTTTCGCGACACTCAGTAACGTAGGGCCCCTCGCTAGTAAATTTGCAGGCTGTGAGAAGCGTGAAAACGCAATGACCTCGAAATCCCGAATGGCCTCGACCAGGGGCAATCAAGGTCGTGATCGGACGGGCAAGGATTCTCACAATCCCGCGCGGCCCCATCATCAGGTGCTATCCACTCCAGGTACCTACCCCGACTTTTTCTCAACCCACGCAGTCCCCGTCTCTTTGTCGCTACTGCAACTAGGAAAAACCTCACCCCCAACCCGACCCAACCACATCCTGTAGATACCTTCAGCCTGGCTCGATGAATCCCCGCACGTCCAGCGCTACTCCCATGCCAATCCGCACGTCAAGCAACTCAATAACAAACTAAGCCACTACGAACTAATTGACTGACTATCTAACTGACTGATTGACTGGAAACAAAAAATCACTAACACCCCCCCGGAAAAGAAAAAAACCAACACAGGCAGTCCCACGCGAGAGGTACCATCGCGCGTCAGGCGCCCCCCATCCCACCCTACCGCCTCCGAACCCCACCCCGCCCCCCTACCGCACCATCCCGCACGTCAATCCCGATCTCGCGCGTCAGGTACTATCGCCCCCCTCCCGCGCGCGAGGTCAAGTAACTCACTAACTGACTGACGACTGACTGGCTGACTGACTGACTACAAGTAAGCGCGCCAAATGACTAACCAAGGAACAAATAGCTAGAAAGCTAAATAATTAATTAACTAACTGGCTGACTCTCTAACTAACTCTTTTCGGAAGTGAGAGGTCCAGCAGATCTTGCGCCCAGGTGTTGAAGGACATTTTCGTGACCTTCACCGCGTTCGTGCTGACGGTCGGACCCTCTTTCCAGGGGGGCGGATCCATTTGTTTGGGTTTCTTGAAGTTTGGATGACGCGTTAAACTTGCTGGTGCTGAGAAGGGAATGAGCCCAGGGTCCCCTCCAAGGAAACAATGAGTTGGATTATTTGTAAGGGTCATCCCCTCATTTCCCGCTTATTGCACCTGCAAGTCTTTCTTCGTGGGCCTATGGTACCTTGGGCAAACAAGTGGCAAGATAGAGATTTTGTATTCATAAACCCAAGCACAAGCTGTTACCTTCTTTCGGAGAAATCATGGAAGGAGGTTCTTGGAAGACGTTTGTCGTCTGGACACTGAGCAACACTGGAACAATGCGGCAACACCGGAACGCACCGCTCGAACCCTTTTGGAGACTCTGGACACTGAGCAACATTGAAACACCGGACTGAAGACTGGAACGCTGGAACTCTGCACGCAACCGCTCGACAACACTGGAAAAAACTGAGCAATTGAAAAGGCCCCAAACGTCCATGATCGTCAGGAAAAGGGACAGCCCTAAATACAGTCACACAGCTGAAGGTCGGCTACATGCAAATCAAACATGGAACCCAAGAAAGGCCTTTCCAAGGAGTTGCAAGTGGTTTCTGGGGTTGCTGCAGTTGGATGAAAGATCCGCAATTCCCTACACTTTGGCTTAGTCATTGCCATCTACTTTCCCGTTCACCAAAACCAGAAGATGGCCATTTGAAGGGGAGCTCATCTTCTTTTTTCCTTGCTGGTGCGAGAGATGCAGGGAATGGGAAATGGAATGACCCCGAGAGAAACCATCCCGCTGGTGGTTCGCTTTGAAGGGACCCGGGTTCATTCGACCTCATTCCCTACTTGGCTGTGGCAATCAACAAATTCCGGAATTCCAAAATGGCTTGGTCAGTGGAATCCGATCGTTTCATTTGGAGCCACATTCCCGCCGCAGCGATCGCCCGCTTTTTCCGCACCGAGGCGCAGCCCTGCCTGTGGCTCTGGGCTTTCCTCTTCGGCCCCTTGCGGTGCCTGGTGCCGGGCCAGGCGGGCGATGGAGGGCGGTGGCTGGGTCGACAAAATCGGGGAACCCGAAAAATGTGTTTAGTTGCCATCTGGTTGGAAGAATGCTGGTGTACGCTTTGCGGCATTTGGCCAAGGGATGTTAGGACTTGAGCACTTTTTGCCCACGAATTTGATTTTCCGAATTAAACCACTAAAAGTTATTCACTTTTAGCAGGGGAGCAGAAAGCAACCGAGTTTGGTCGATGCCTTGCCGCCCTTTTCACGAACCTGAGGTAAATAAGGGACGTCCGGGTTTGGAGCATTTTCCCTTTCACACGTCTCGTCTAGGGCCAGGCATTTGGACATGTCGCCCTTTGTGTGTCTTGAGCTTTTGTGAGCATCTCGAGATCACTATATTCTTTTCTGCAAGCTGTCGTCCAAATTCACGTGGAACCTGAGAATGTCCTGGTTCGGACCATTTTCATTTTACAGGTACCATTTCCAAAAATGTCAGGTTCCACGTGAGGGCAGGAGGGTATTCGAAGGGAGCTCTGTTTGGTTAAAAGACCATTGTTTGGTGGTGCCCAGCCATGCAGTCCCTTAGCTTTTTCGTGGTTTATCGTTGGTTTAGTGGTTGAAATTTTCACTAATAACCTCGCAAATTGACCGGTGGTCGTTGCATAATCTGTGGACAGGAATCATTCAACGCGGATTGCTTGGCAAGGTCAAGTAGGATGATCAGGGGTCATTTCTTCGTCAGCAGCTTTCAATGCACGGAAGACGGGCCATCACTCACCCTCACGAGTCCAGCCCCTGGAACTAAGTTGAAATGTGTGAGACAAATTCAAGAGAGGCCTTCGCGCTGATGACATGTTTCATAATCATCATCTCCGAGCGCGGTGACAGGAACCTGACCTGGAGGTTTGCACATATGGGTACCCATGATAATGTTGTGTGGCCTGAAATGAGCCTGTGAGCGAGCTTGGTTATGTGGGGATTTCTGCTGGCTCTTCGACTAATTCCATGAAATATTCTCAAGTGAACCACTCTTGCAATAGCGATCACTTTCGCACTGAAAGGGGCAGTGCGTTGTTGGTAATTATGTCTCACTTCCTGAGTTGGTGGACTTTAAACTTTTGGAAAGACCATTTTAGTGGTAAATACAAAGTTCAACCTTTTTTTGGCCAGTCAACTTGGGAAGTGAGATGTTCATATCTCCACCAAAGCCATTGGTCCCCCAGTCGTCGTTCGTAACCCTCACTCACCTGACGTACCCGGCCGCGTGAAGCTACAGCCGGGTGAACGATGACACAATTCCCCCGCCATTTTAGTTGAGCTCACGCCCTCCGCCCACTATCTTAGCTCTTAAGAACACAAATGTTCGTAACTTTTTGGGCAACATGGGCTATATGTCTGTAAAAGATTAACTTCCCCAGGGCTTGGAGTTTTAAGGGGTAAGCCATCTGCCGGCAAAATGTGCTATTACTCTGGAGGCCATGGCCGCTGCTCTAAATGAAGAGCCTGGTCTGGGATGAAGAGGGGGGGTTCCCCGAAGGTGTTCTATATATCTCCGTTCAGCCAGGAAATTGTTGGTCAACCTTCTACATCCCCCCCTTTCAGCCAGGAAATTATGAGTCAACTCCTTGCAGCAGCTTTTTTCCAGCTTTGACTCGTTTTCCCAAACCTGGCTTTGACTCGAATAAAATTCCCCGATTCCCTTAAACCCTAAATCCTAAACCCTTAGCTTGGAAACTATTAGTCAACCAGATTCCCAGCTTTGACTCGTTGCAGTTTCAGTTTCAGTTTCAGTTTCCCAACATGCCGAGCAATGTCGGCGGACTATTCGTCAACCAGAGTCGCTTTTCTTTTGAGGCACATCCCCCGGTGCGCTGGGAGGAGCTCACGTCGCTGGCGGGGCTGGGGCTCGGGCTGGGGTTGGACGCCCCCACATGGTGGTTTTCCACTTTGGGTTTCCCTTCAAGACCAACCAACAAGGGGTATGGTGAAAAAAGACAGACCCATATATTGTTCAGACATCAGCTTTTGGGAGTCAATGTTTACGTAGTTCGCCTTATGGGGTGATGTTGAAGAGATATGAGAGAAGCTGGCTGGAAGACGCGAGTTCCTGCAACCTTCACATGGCGTTTCCAAGAAATGGGTCCTCCAAACATACCGCTTGAACAAACACACCCACAACCGGATCCCCGAAACTTGCGCCTTTTTATGTGCCTCAAAAGGATACTTCTCTCAGAAGGCTTTTTGCTGGTCATGTTGATTTTCAGGAGCGGATGACACAGGCACATGTAGCCGGTGAAGGACGGCCAAGTTGAAACCCTCTTTTTGGTTTGAATTGTTGGACAAATGACGTTCGCGTAGCATTCTGCAACACATGTCCCGCTGAAAATGGGGATAGACTCGCTTGCGCCTCTGGTTTTCCTCGCCCCCAGCGTGACTGATCTCTTACTGTTGGATGTTTCTTCCAAAAAAAGGGGTTGTAGCCATGGGGGTTGTAGCGGGGGTAGCCAAGGAATCAAGTGCACTTCCCCTTCTCAGACCTTTGAAGAGACGAGGCCATTTTGCTGTGGCTGCTGCTACGGAGCCTGTACATTTGCTGGCATGGCAGGCGCGCGAATCGAACCGGTGCCTTTTTTTTCTTTTTTTTTTCCGCTGAAGGGGCGAGAGAGGCTTGGCAATTTACAGTGTCACACATGGTATGCGTTTCTTCTTGACGCCAGTAGCACTTGTTTTGCATGTGAGTGCAAGGGGTGGCCCAAAGCATCCTCTTGGCACGCTAATACTACAGAAGTAATTAAAGACTCGGGAAGAGAGCAAAGCGGCTGCCGTGAGTCAAACCAGAAGTCCGCAGACGGTATCCATGACTGCAGGACTTCAGCTACGGCAAGTCAGCACGGTCAATTGTTCAAAACACCAGTCATGTTGCAACACACCGCACAACAAAGGCGACAAATGCCCGACGATCTTGTGAACTCTTTGTGCATGGCTCCCCGCCACAAGCTGGCGTTTCGCGGTTTCGAGTTGAGACACCAGTCACAAATGATCGATACAACAGACCTGACTGGGCAAATTCGAATCTCGAACAGAAGTCCGCACTGCTAAAACAATGCAACGCTGGCTTATTCTAAAATTTTCAAGATTGCTTGGTCATCTTTCTACCGTTTATCAAAGCTGTTGGGGGTGATATGGATGCATTTTCCAGATTCTTTCCGCACCATGAGCGTTTGGGACAATCCATGAAGGGGGCACTCGATTTTGAGTCGGGTGTTTGTTTGTTTGCTTGTTTGCTTTTGTTTGTTTGTTTGTTTGTTTGTTTGTTTGTTTGCTTGCTTGCTTGTTTGTTTGTTTGCTTGCTTGCTTGCTTGCTTGCTTGCCATTGTCTGTCTGCCTGCCTGTCTGCCTGCCTGCCTGCCTGCCTGCCTGCCTGCCTGCCTGCTTGCTTGCTTGCTTGCTTGCCGGCTTGCTTGCTGTTGTTTGTTTGTCTGTCTGTCTGTCTGTCTGCATGCCTGCCTGTCTGTCTGTCTGTCTGTTTGTCTGTCTGTCTGTCTGTTTGTTTGTTTGTTTGTTTGTTTTGCTTGTTTTGTTTGTTTGTTTGTTTGTTTGTTTGTTTGTTTGTTTGTTTGTTTGTTTGTTTGTTTGCCATCTTAGTCAACATCTTGGGTGGCGAGAAGCATCTCCGCCATCATGCAGTATAGGTGGTTCAGCTCATTTTCTCCTTTCGATAGCGACCTCACCCGGCGTCTCTTGCAACCTCACCCGGGAACGGTGAGCCGCAGTTCTGTGCTCCGATCTCTCCTTTCTTTGCGCTCGGACTGTGCCACACCGAATCAAGATGCACAAGTCGTGAAGTTGTATGGTTCCACCGTGCAGTTTCCATTGCCACGGGTCTCTTGACATATTGAACAGTGAAGACACCTCCACTTTTTGCATTTTTCGTTGGGTATGAAAGGGTGTCCTCCATTTCCCGTTGTGGAACCTGCAAAAGTTGCAATTTCCATGAACGCCGCCAGACTTTCATTTGGGGGAATCCTGCGACATGATGGCTCCGTGGATCCCTGTCGGCTGGTGAAAAAGCCGCAGGACCCAACGACTGTACTCTCAGCAGCGCCTGGATGCGGTGCTGGCGGCGTTGGTGACTGCGCCGTGGGGGAACATGGTCGAACGGCGCGAGTCGAAGCGGGGGACGTCGAATCGGGCGAAGTCGGGATATGGCCATGGGTCAAAATCCGAATCGTACCCCCAGTGAGCATTTTTTAATCCCCAACGAAATAAACTAAAATGGGTGGTGCACCTACCCCAAAATGGACCATTGGTTTTGACCCACGGCCATATCCTAACAGGGAACCTCACTGGAGAAACCCGACAAACTTGGAGAAAGATGTGACAAAGCCCAACGGGCACAACCAACTTATGAGATCCCATCACTTTGAGAAAGGGGGCTGGAACATGTGGGGGTTGATCAAAAGGTCCCTGATACATGGGATGACCATTGGTTTGGAAAACCGCTAAATCGATTTGATATTGTGGGCCAGGAATATTCATCAACCCCCATCTCCTTTTCAAGGGGCCTGGCGACTTTTATGTTGATGGAAGGGTTTTGGGCTCATCTGCCTCAAAGTCTCTTGGGTCTCCCCTCTCTCAAAATGGTTGAAATAACATCCACCCAATGGTCATCCCACGTGTCAGGGACCTTTTGATGAACCACCCAATGGCCTCGCCCCCTTTCTCAAAGTGACGGGATCTCACAATTTGATTGTGCCCAGGGGTGGAGCTAGCTTCTTGTTGAAACAGAAGTACCGTGCAGGGAGACTGAAGAGAGTCTTCCTGGAGCTTCCTGCTTTTTCTCCGGCTGCACGCCAAGCAACTTCAACGCTTGAGCTGCGACTTTGGTGATCAACTCAAGCCCCATCGTTCCAGGGGCAGCTCTGCTTGCTTGTAGGAGGCATGACTGTCTTGCCTTGAAACCCACCAGGCGTCAAGTGAGATGTTTCAAAGGGGGGGGGTTCAGCCCTTCACCCACCAAGCACTCAATAGCAAGTATGGGCCCTCGAGGCATGAATGGGTATGTGTCAAATAGGGGACACCCTCAAGCATTCAGGTTTTCTTGCGGTGTCCAATTTCACCAGCCTCAGCAAAACACACACGCACACGCACCCTATTATCTCGGACAAAGACAATCTTTGAACATGTATGAGAAGCCCTGCATATGATTTGAACCCCTGGCTTTTGTGGAGGGTTAGTGTCGAACCCCTCCTTAACCACCAAGCCACCCGTCCAAGCCACCAAAATTAGAGGGAGGCTGATCTCCTTCGGACCCCGCAACACGCACACACACACAACCCAAACACAGGGATCGATTGACCAAACACTACACACGACCGGAAAATACATATATATATATACATATATAAATATATATTAATCGACCCAAACAAAGTTCGACGAGGTCTGAGGACCTCAGCATGGAGATGGACTTCGAGCAGGACGGCCAAGGTGCAGTCCGCTGGGCCCAGTCCGCTGGGGGCCAACGGAAGGGCGCGCGAGTCCCCGATCTCTGAGCTGTGGTGTCGATTTCGGGGTACCCCTCTGGGGGGTTTTCCAGCACCATGTTGGTTTTGGGGTACCCTTGAAATTTGACGCACACCCACCATTCTAGGGGTACCTTCCATTTCCATTCTGAACCCAGGGATCCTTCTTGCAGGAAGTCATCAAAAACCCAGGGAAACAGCCGGCTTTTGAAAAGAACGATGGTTGAAAAGAATGGAAGAGGAATCAACCCCTCGAAGAGTGAGTTTGATGCATGTTTGTGCATTTTTCGGTTGACTTTGGACAGATGTTTTGAAGTCTTCTGGTTGGGGACAAAAGACGAGGTAGTTTAGTGGTGAGTTTGGAAACATTGAACAACGCGCGGAAGAGGCGCGCAAACGGCCACATGGCGACGGATGTGTTTTTTCAGCTGCATGGATCCGCCACAGGCTGTCAAGATTCGGAGAGCAGGGATGCATTGACCTTCAACTTGCCGGTGCTGAGGGGGGAATGAGGAAATGAACAGGACGGGGATTCCCTTAAAGGAAGCCACAAGGGATGGCTTAATTATGGGGGTCATTCCATTTCTCATTGCCTGCAACGAGCAAGTCAAGTTGGGACGGTAGGTTACACTCAGCGGATGGGTCTTGAAATGAACCGACTCAGCCTGTGCAGAGCCTGCCAGAGCGAAGCGCTCCGAAGGTGAGTAATGGAGGCAAAAAGCCCTAAAAAGAACCATGCGTGAGGAATTCACAGTATAAGCTCTACGGGAGTTCCTTTCACTTGAATGGTTGGAATATAATGGAAATAAGTGAATGGAATCCTAGAAGGAAAGGAGTGCATGAATTGAAAGGAATTGAATGAAGCTTATTGGCACAGAATGGAGTTGAACGGAAGGAAAGGAGTATAAGGGAGTGTGAATGTCAAAGAACGGATTCGAGCATGAGACATATGTTGTCTTGTTTGTAAACGAGAACAGATTGAAGTTGAATGGCATTGAAGGGAAAGAAACGCATCTGCAAGGAAAGCATTTGCAAGGAAAGCTTGAACGGAATGCATCATCCCAGGCATGTTGCAGGGGCAGCAATATACTGGTACGAAGGAAGTGCGAATATTCACGATTGTTTCTGGTGACGCAGGTGCCCGTTCCTCTAAAGGTCTCAGGCCTTGGGAAGTAATAAAATGGTGGTCTGACAGCAACTGATTTCCCTCACTCGCCATCAACCACGGCTGCTGGTTTCTATCGGTAGCTTGGTGGAAGAGCATCTCTTCGCATGTGTCGGGGTGCAAGACTGGCAAAGTACCTGAGCCACAATCAAAACCCGGGTAGATGACGGTGAGTAAGGGATACTCCCAACCATTAATGGGTGCAGCCGCCTTTCTGAGTTTCAGCTTGGATCTGGGTAGACCATTTTGATACCATGACTCACCTTGAGAGGTCACACGAAAGGTGCCAAGCAACTCATGTGCACGCCTGCGCACACGTGAAAGCGATTTGCGGTGCTGCCAGGTCTCTCTCCCGAGGCACGGGGCTTGGAGCAGAGCGACAGTCGCCCCAATGGCCACTTTGATTGTTCTGGGTCCTTGAACATGACATCCTGAACTTGGCAGTTCCCAGCCATCCCCTTAGGTGTTTAGGTTGTTAGGGTAACTTTTAGAAGGTTTTAGAAGGGATCTCGGGACAGTCAAAATTACCCAACTGCCGGTTTAAAGCGAGCCCAAAACTGATTTTGAACACCCCTCAACAAAATTCACTTTTGAAGGACCCAGTCGTTGAAATCTGATCAGTTCATTCCTTAAGGAGCGGAGCGGATTTGACGTCTGTTGAGCTAACCAGGCTGACTCATCAGTCATTGCCCTGACGCGAAAGGTCGGCTCCAACCTGTTTCTCATTGTCAGACTCTGGAGACTTGCTGGGAGACTTGTTTTAGTGGGTTGTTTGGAGCCGGCATGATTCTGGGGCCTGATTCCCCATTCTTTTCAACCATCGTTCTTTTTAGACACCAGCTGTTTTTCCCCGGGGTGTTTGGTGGTTTCTAGAAAGATCCGGATCCCTGGGTTCAGAATGGCCATGGCAGCTACCCTTCGACCCATGGGGCGGCTTCTCCGGACGGGCCAATTTTTCCTTGGCACGCCAGGCAGTGGAGGAAATGCACAGGCTGCGGAAGGCGGGGGGCTCGCGAAGGCGGCTTTTTGGAAGGACCCCCAAGAATTCTGGTGGTCCTTTTGGTTTCCTCTGAAAGCCACCAGCAAAGGGTTCCCCTCAACATGTGTACAGTTTGGAGACTGCGCCTCAGCTCGTGACAACGTCCACTGCAAAAGAATCATCCATTTGGCATGAGACAGAGGTCGCGGAGGGCGCCTTATTTTTATTTGTTTATTTATTTTTTAACACCCTGCGTGTGAGCGCACACTCAGGCACACTCACACCTACAACACGGTTTCCCATTTCGCCTGAAACAAAATGACACAGTATTCGACTCTTACAGGTTTTTGTTGGTCCTTGTCAAGGCCATTTTTCTGTAGGGGCAGCTACAGGTTCGCGCTTTTGGCCATGTGGATCTCTGGCAGCTTTTGGCACAAGCCGCCGGATAGGCTGCGAGTCAGACATGTAAAGCTCTAGGGCCATTCTTTCCAGGGATCCTTCTTTCTAGAAAACCTCCGGAAACCCGGGGAAAACAGCCAGTTTTTGAAAATAACGCTGGTTGAAAAGAATGGAAAAGGAATCAACCCCCAGAAAAGTGCCAAGCAAATTGATGCCCAGGGCCTTAGCCGACATGGTCACCGGTGCTGGTGGTCCTGTCATCTTAGCAGTGTACCCTATATACATCAGATTGAAGCATATCAGGATTGCCCGGCTTCCTTCAATTGGTAGCTGACGTGTTTTTTGTGTACACCTCCTGTTCTGAAGCTTTGCGAGAGCCAGCATGGCCAGAACCACTCAGAGCCAACCAGTTCAGAGGTTTCTTTCTTTGCGCTCGCAAGCTTGCGGCTTTTTCCTTTCCCTTGGAGCCATCCAGCAAGCGCTTCTCTCTCCAAGCACCAGCCACTTCCTGCGATTCTCGCCGCGCTCTCGCCGCGCCTCGTGCCATGCATGTGCTGGGATCTGCAGAAGCCATCGCCTGGCGTGTCCCGCAGCATGCGGCAGGCGAGAGACGTCTTTCGGAGCAGAATGATGTCCTATGGGTGTGAAAATGGGTACCCTTCCTTCCACTAACATGGCAGCTGTGGGAGGGTAGTTGGAAGATCAGTTTCCTTTTTAATGAAGCCTGTCAGATGCCGTGGCAGAGGTGGGAGAGGGAGTACCCATAATTTGGGTAGCTTCCATTTGGTTGAAACAACCCCGCAAAAATGGGTGGCCTCAAAAAAAAAAGCACACCGATATCAAACACGTGCCATGTGCCCTGATCAAGCGCTCCCTTTACTTGCGGTAGAAGGCCCAACAAAGGGATTTCGGACAGCCATGGTAAGGGTTGCGAATAGAACCATGACCATGGCCACGGCTTTGGCACATCAAGTTTGGACTCTCCATTACGGCTCCAGTCCTTGAAAGGGACGGCGCCCTCTGCATCATTGACCCAGAACTCAGCTGTTCCCGCACGAAAGCCTTCTGCTTCGGCCCTTCTGGAAGTTTAGAGGCACCCACCAATGATGCGAAGGCGTGGAGTGCCTTCGCTTCATGTTTTTTTGCCCCGACACATTTCACATGCTCTGGGCAAGCTGAAGTAACTGCATTGGTAACACCAAGTGGCATGGGGACACCCACATGCTCATGCACACACACATGCATAGCCCAAACAGTATGGCCGCATGAACCGAATACCTTGGGCGGAAAGCATCCGGCTAAGTCCCGAGTTTCCTATTTGGACCAAGCTTCGACTGTGCATTGCATCCTGCATGGCACCTTCATGTAGGTGCTTGTTTCAGGGTTCCCTTTTGAATTTGGTGAAAAGAGAAGCCCGAAAGGACAACCACAAGTTTGGGGGGGTCCTATTTGGGACACATCCCGACCATGTGAGCGGCTATGCAAAACGAAAACATCGCGAAGGCTCTAGTGCTCGCGCTGGTGCTGGCAGCGCAGGCTCAGGCTTGCCTCGTCGCAGAAGCGAATGAACGCTCTCCTTTGTGCCGTGCGCAACAGGAGGAAGTCGACACAGTCAATGGGTGGAGCCCAAAAGAAGCGTTCTGATTGGTTGCTGTGAGGTTTTGAGATGATGTGCCAGGTGAGATAATCTTTGGATTTAGTCGGCTTTGGATTGACAAAGGCAAGCTTTGCTGGGAGTCTTGCAGGAGGTATGTTTCAGCTACGGTCGATATGGGTTGTGTCCTTCCATGACATCGGATTTGCGTTTCTCTCCTGGTAATTCATCTGCTCAGTACATGATCACTCACATGGGGTGTCTCGTTTTAGGTGAACCACGGAAAAAAAAGAAAAGAAAAATACACAAGAGAAGACATGGTGGTCTTCCTTTTGATTTCCATTGAAACGCAAAAAAGACAACCAAACTCGAAGCAGACACAGCCACATGTTGCTGATGAAGTGACTTGTGTGTTTTTGCCTTGAGGCCAATTCCAATTCCTCCGCCGAGAGCGAAGGCAACGGGGAGGAGAACTGGATTCGGGCCATGGGTGAGTGGGTGATCCCAGATTTTGAGAAAATCCCCAAGTGGCAGTCTCGTACGATCCCGTTCTGGTTTTAAAGGAACACCAGAAGGAAACCAAACAAAAATCTCGGGGTTCCGATTCCTAAAGCAAGACACCAAGCAACGAGGTGGCGCTGCCTCGTCATACTCGCGCTTTCACGTCACGATGCGTCGCAGGCAACCGGAGCATTCCTCTCACCGTTGTCAGCGACGAGGCATGGATTCCTTGCCAAGGCATATTGTTGGTGAGCTCAAGCGTGTGCCTTCCGTACTTGGACTTCCGGCCAAGTTAGCAAGTGACTCGCCACTTTATGACCCCCTCAACCAAGATCCCCACTTTAGGGGACTTAGGAGTGGGTTCCAAGCTAGGCTGCCAACACGTTAACTCGGCCAAACGCCCAAGTACCCTCTTGCTTTCCTCCACGCTTTTCTCTGATTTGAACGGACCATCCGAGCAGGTCAACGCTTCAAGCCTTGCCATGGCTGACAATGCCACTGCCTTCCCCAGCCGGGGCCCGAGGCGAAAGCGGCCGAAGCCGTCGCTAGCAGAGGTGGCTTTTCGGAGGCAAGTTGCTGGTGCGATAGGCAGGGGATGAGAAATGGAATGCGTCCATCATCCAACTGGTGGTTCCTGGGTTGCAACCACATTCCCTTGTCGCAGCAAGACAAGTGGTGGCTAGCTGGGGCTTGTGCTATTTGGACTCCTGCAGATGGCTCATGTTTTTTTTTTCACGGCCCGGATCCCTCGTTTTTTCGGCTCACATCTCGTTGCCTCGTTTTGCTGACTGGAGCCGCCTGAGGCTCCTTCGAGGGCTTCGAGTATCACAAGGAGCCCTTTCCCCTGGATTGGCGTCATGATGGCGTCTCAGCCTCTTGACAGAGATGGCTTCAGATGAAAAGAGGAACCCGCCTCTCAGTCCAGCCATTCAATCCAGTCAATCCAGCTGGACTGATTGGAGTGACTGGAGTGACTGGACTGAATGACCCCACAGACCAACCATTTCTGGCCACAATTCGCAGGGCATGTGGACCAAGTCTTTTGCCTCTTCGTCTCCTCCACTGGTCCATCTCTCAGAGCCAATCACAAGCACGCCGCGTGGTCGTGTGGTTTGGGTTTCCTTCAAACACCAAAAGGAGGTCCCAAATGGGCGCACGATGGGCCCTTGAAAACTCCCTGCTGCAGAGCCCCAGTTGACATCCGAGGCTGGAACTTGTTTGTTTGTTTGCTTGCTTGCTTGCTTGCTTGTTTGCTTGTTTGTTTGTTTGTTGAGACCAGTTTGGAGCGCTCTCCTGTGCTAAACTACCCAAATGTGTCCCTCCCAAACAGGAACCCAAAGGGGGGATATTCTTTCCTTTTTCCTGATCCTATATTATACTACATATAATCATATATATATAATACATATGTATACATATAATTTCTAGCACTATGTATGATCATATCTACCTATATGTGTGTATACATATTCATATACACATGATGTATGCAGCCCCGGGCATCCCTGGGCATCGCTCAGCTGCTGCTGGCGTCCCTGGGGCTGATCGTGGCCGCCTCCGGGGGCATCGGCGGGGGGGGCATTTTGGTGCCGCTCTTCATGCTGGCGCTGGAGCCGAGAGTCCGACGGCCGACGTCCGATGTCCGCCGTCCGAACGCCGAAGTCACTTCGAGCCGAAGTGGTTGCCATGGGTTTCCGGAGCTATGGAGGGATTGTGGAGCCTAGGGTTTGTGAGTTTCATTGAAGCTAGACCGCTACCGCCGAGAGCCGCGTTTGGGGTGTAAAGAGAAAACCAAAGGGAAGCCAAAGGGAAAACTCTGGGCTAACAGCTAGAAGTCTGTTTATTTGGGGATCCTTTGGCATGAATGCAATGCCAAGATATGAGGTTCATATGAGGTTCGGTCAACATATCCAGTGGTCTATGGTCCATTGCCTCTCATTTATTGTTGCCAATTGAAGCCAACAGCAAGTGTTGACCGCGGCTCATATGGGATGACCAGACAACACATCGCCAAATCAACTAAGGACATGCTGGCTGGAGTGATATTCCCAACCGCAGGTGTTCCTCAGCCACGCCCCAGGTTCAAGTCTAGCTTTGGGCAATAAATACAAAAACACTTGGGGGTGTTTCTTTTTTTATGGTACCCCTTTGTGGGGTTAAAAGGGAAACCAACGGGACACCAACCATTTGTTTGGGGCCCCTTGATTTTTAAGACACACAACCTTGGTCGCAGGAGTTCAAGCCGAAGCACGCCATTGCGCTCTCCAATTTCACCATTCTCGGCGGCGCGATTGCCAACACTCTGGCGAATGTCAGGCTGGGTATCCGGGTCCTTGTTGGGGACCTTTGGACCCTCCCATGCTCCTTTGGGGAGGACTAGATAAGTGGAATTGGGGACCACCCAACCCCCCTCTCTTTCTGAAAGTCATTGCCCAGCGCAAGAGAGTCATTGCCAAGGGGAGACGTATCATGGTAGGTGTTCATCGCAACGTTGGCTTTCGAAACAAACAAAGAGAGCACCAAACCTC